AGCTCGTGAACCTGGTGTATTACCTGCTGTGCGCCAAGTTCTACACTCTGAAGCCGGTTCAGATTCGTGAACCGGCGGGTGGGATGGAAAAAAGAGACGATGGGTTCGAGCTGACCGGGGCGGGTCGTGTTTGAGAGTGTTTATTATTATTATAGTTATATGCCCTAGTGTGCATTTTCCGTATTGGGATGGCATGATTAGTGTGTGTAAAATGTGCAATTAACTTGGTAGTTCTAGTGTAAGTCTAAGTAAATTTAGTTATTTCAAGAATAAAAGGCAAGTCAGAATACCTGGATATACCCCATCCTATATTATGTTATAGTTTCATCTTATATTACATACGTATTGATGAAGCTAAAACAAATAGATTTTGATATAGCCCTAACTTGACTGAATCGAGATTAACGTTTCAGATCGAACGATTCAGAGACGTACCAGGGCAACCTACCAAGACTAGGAACTTGTAATTAGGGAAAGATGAAACATGTCGTTCTAACTAAGATTGCAACTTTAGCAGGGGTGGAGCCACCCATGGCCTAGGGTGGGCTCCAATCTCAGGTAAAAANNNNAAAAAAAAAAAAAGACAAATAATGTACATTTTAGATTATTATTGTTATATAGCCATATCTAATTTTCTAGTTAGCCCTTTGAATTAGCCCAACAAGGCCCAAAAGATTAAAAATCTATTGTTGGGCTTATTAAAATGGGTACGACTCTCACTTTCTTTTCAATGAAACAAACAGCTGTTTTTGAACTCTTGGAATCCTTGCTTTGAATCATACCTGAACTTTGTAAAGGATTACGAAGTCAACTGAAGAAATAATCCAAAATATTATTTCCAGAGATCTCAATTCATTAAAATTCAAACAAGTGTTGAAAGCCCTTTCTTTTGTGGGTCCACTGGGGGCTTCTATCTCTTTCAGAGCCTTGACTTCTATGTCGCAGGGTTAAAACCAAAAAAGATTTGTTTTTTTCTAGATGTTTTCGCTGACTTTCTCGCTTGCCAGCTCTACTCCACTTTGACTTACCATATTAATATTAGAGGGCATGCCTCACTTACTACTAAGTTGGCTCAGTCACACAAGCTTCTCAGTTCTCACACAAAATAGATGGACTCTCCTAAATCGGTAGCCTTTGTTAATCTATACTCGCAAGTTTCAAGCCCCTCTACTCTCACCCTTGTTTTCTTAAGTGAATGACGCATCTTCCATCTGGTGTCAGCAGCGAGGAAGCGAGACCTTCATGCTTCGAGGATCGAGCGGCGTGCGGCAGCCGACAAGTCAGCGGGACTGAGAGTGACTCCGAGCCTCAAGGTAACGACAGTTGAACCTGAATTGGTTAATTTTGGTTTATTGAGTACAAATTGAAATGTGGTGTGAATTATGTGAATTAAAATGTGGTGAATGATTTGTTCAATTGTTTATGTTTGTATCTTTGTTCTGTAATTTGTTTAGGCTAATTTAATTTAGTTTGTCTCTTTGTTTTGCCATATATGAATTGAAACCTTATTGGTTTTTCTCCCCTTTTGTGGTTTGTGGGGATATGGTTGTAGCTTTACTTGTTTTGTCAACAGTTCTCAAAATTTATGAGGGAACATGTTTTTGGCTTAATTATAGGTGTTAATGCTTGTTGATGGCATACTCGATGCTTTAAAAGGTGTGGATGCTTGTTTGGGCTTCATAATAAGATTGTGTACCAAAACTCATAAATCGTTCTTGATTACTTTTTTTTTTGTATTTTTTAGTTTGCTTATATCATCCAAATGCTTGATTAATTTACTACTTTTTGTTAACCTGATTTGTTTCAATCATAGTGGAGAGTCAAGGTACGAAGAAAAGAAAGACTATAAATCCATTCTTTAAGCCAAAAGAGCGTTCGTCGACAAGCTGAGATCGTCCTTCTAATGATGATGCTGCCACCTCTTTTGATATGACTTCTCTTGAACGTGACCCGACATTATGTACTCCATATGGAAATGTCCCATGGATCAAAGGGATCAAATAATATGAGCTTATATTAAGGTGGGACCATATCAACCTATCAAGAATGATTATCCATCGACAAATTTGGAGCTCACAATTGGAGATTTCAAAGCAATTGGTTCAAGAAGTTTACTTGGTTGGAATACTCTCCTTTTAAGGACTGCTGCATTTTGTTTCCAGTATTCTCGAAATTCAGCATTTGCTACAAAGAGAATCAAGTATTGAAAGCGAGTTAGTGATTGAGACAGATGCTCCTTTTTACTACATATTGGAAGCCCTACTTACAGTATAACAATGCTGCAGCATCCATTGATCGTTTGATGAATGTGCCTTGTCATATTGATAAACTAATCAACGAACAATCTTTAGAGGAGAAACAAACGAATATATTTGAGACTAACAACAACTATTGAAAGCATCTGATGGCTCACTTTGCAGGCATGTGCATTTAGAGGACACAATGAATCTCTATTATCAACTTATCGTAGAAATTTTATCGCAGTGATAAAGTTCATGGAAAGAATGAATGATAGTATTGGAGATGTAGTCTTAGAGAATGCTTTAAGAAATACAAAGTATATCTCTCCAGAAATTCAAAAAGATGTTTTGAATATTCTTGCTCACCAAGTGAGATCCAAAACTCTTGAAGAAGTTAGAGCCACAAAATTTTGTATTTTAGTGGATGAAGTGAGAGATAATTCCAACAAAGAGCAAATGACGATTGTGTTGAGTTTTGCCGATATTGATGGTCTTATAAGAGAATTTTTTTTTTTTTTTCTATTGTTCACGTCCTTGATACAACCACTGTGACGCTTAAGAAAGAAATATCGGATTCTCTTAATTGATATGATTTACATGTGCACAGTATGGGGGATAGGGTTATGATGGTGCTAGCAACATGCGTGGCTCGTGGAATGGATTGCAGACTCTATTCTCGAAAGATTGTTCAAGTGCATATTACGTGCATTGTTTCGCGCATCGACTTCAACTAGCATTGGTTGCAGCTACTGAAAAAGCAGTATCTATTTGGTTATTTTTTTTTTTCAAAATTGATTGTCATCAGTAATTTTATAAATGCCTCTCTCAAACGCAATTGTGAGTAGCAAGTTGCTCAAATAAATAAAATTGCACATATGGTAGCAATGGGCCAACGTGATACATGTGGAGAGTGTAACCAAATTGGGAACTTACTCAGGCCTGGAAAGACTCGATCAAGTGCTAATTTTGACTCACTTTGTAGCATGATAGATATGTATATCGCTGTGATCATCGTGATAGAGAAAATGGTGGATGAGGGATCTCTAATTCCATTCGAGCTGGAACGAGTGATTTTTCAATTGCAATGAAGTCTTTTGATTTAATATTCATATTATACTTGATGCAAAAAATAATGAGAATAACAAATTTACTTTGTCGGGCATTGCAAGAGAAGTCTCTAGACATTTTAAGTGCAATGGACAATATTTCAACTACTAAAATGTTACTTCTAATGTTGAGAGAAGAAGGTTTTGGCACCCACCTTCAAAATGTGGAGGAAGTTTGTGCCAAGTATGATATTGAAGTGCCTCAAATAGAAACTCGCTATAATCCACTACACGTCGTTCAAGTCAGCAAAATGATTCAATCACAATTGAGCATCATTATCATTTTGTGATATTTAACTCTGCAATAGATTTTCAAATTGAAGAGACGCATAATAGTTTCAAGGATGAAACGGGTGAACTTCTCGAGCTCCTAATAAACGGATAAGAATGAATCTAAGGATGACTCAAGAATGATTCGGGTGAGGATAGGATCAAACCCCGTGCAGGCTGATCGAGGGCGGCTCGGCAGACAAACCCAGTCAGGTATATCCCTATAAAAGGTGGTTGAGATACAGTGATACATCTTCTTTCACATTATAAACACTCTATGCCTTTATTTCTCTAGATCCTAGAGTTGTATCTTTTTTCTTGTGTTATCTTACGCATCGGAAGCTTTTCGCCAGAACACCTCTCGGCGTTAAGATTTTGCATGTATACGGGCAAACTGAAGTCATTTTTTACCGTTTCTATCTAGGTAGTGACTCATCAAATGTATAAATAATAAATATTTAAATCCAGTTAGAAGGTCGATTTACTAATCTCCCCTATATATAATTCCCAAATGCGCTGAGCCTACGTGGCTGTTTCTGGTGCTTCGGAATCCTACTTGGCGAAGGATCATGCTTCGTAATTAGGTTTGGACAAATAATATTGATATATTAATAATTAATAATCTAGGTTCGGACATTCCATAAATATTATTTATATTTTAATATCACTTGTACTAATATAACCCTTTAATTCTTTGTAATTTTACATAATAAGGCACTAAGTGACTAACATATCTCTGACTTTTGATTTGTTTCCTTCAATTAGCTATTGAAAATATATTTTAAAAGTTGATAACTTTTGTATTTATTATCGGTTTTGCATATATAATATATCAAATTAATCATCTTTTGATGTTCTTCTATTTGACATTCATATTGTATATATGAAATAAATAAATTATATTTATATTTATAATAATAAAAAATAAAAATATTTATTAAAATTCATTAGAAAAATAAAATTATTTGTCAATTGATATATTTATGTTTAATGTAGTTATATGTTGTAAGTTAAAAATCATTATAATATAACACAGGTAAATTACACAAATAAAAAGTGTCACACTAAATATATAATAATATATATATTTTTATAAAAAATATTTAATTTTTCAATTACTTTTTTTTTACTGATTTTAAATTCTAAAGAAAAATTAACAAGCACCCGGACGTTGTACTAGTTCTGAAGAATCAGTAATTTTCTAACAAGTTTCCAACGCTGTCCATAAGTCAATTTTTCACAAAGTTCGTTACAAATAATATATTAAATAACTTCGGTAAAAGATTTATATATAAAATTATAACCAAAACAATTGGTCAAAAATGGAATAATTAAGAGAGAGAGAGAGAGAAAAAAAAAAAATAGTCAAATCAACATCTTCGCAACTACTTTCTCGTTCCGTATGGCGCCAACTTCTGTGAAACTTCTCCACGTTTCTTTTTTTCTAGCGATCTCCTTACACAAGTGGCGATCCGCAGGCCCGAAATCCCCAGCCCGGACTCCATTAACGCCCACTATATATAAAGTATAAACCTCCGCAATTTCATTTCATTTCGGCCCAAGGTAGACCGCAAAATTCGCCCAAAAGTTCAAACCATGGCCCTCAAATTCTACTCGCTTTTCTCAAGGACTGAAAGATCGTACGGTGAAAAGTAAGGGTTTCTGGTTTCGATATCTCCTTTCAATTCCTCTCCAATTTTATTATTCCTTTCTAATATTTATTTATCGAAAAATTAATTTTGGAATTCGAATCGACGCTCGATTGAGGGATAATGAAAATTTGCGCTGTTTATCTCAGAAGAAGCGAAATTCCGGCGACGAGAACGAGGGTTTCGATGAACGACGATGAAGACGACGTTTTCGAGGACAGTAGCGTGGGGCTGACGCCTCTGTCGGCTGTGGCGGATGCGTTTGAGGAGCTTTCTGCGTTGTTGAAGGATAAGGGATTCGATTACGATCTGGATTTGAAAACGTTCTGTGATGCGTGCTCGCTCGTCTCAATCCTCTTTGGTTGTTTGGGGATTGCTTTCAAATTCGCAGAATTGGAGTATGTTTCTAAGGTCAGTCCAATTTTCCTTCTGTTTTTTTTTTTTCACTGAATTATCGATTAAGCTACGAAATGATAAATTTTTGCGATGTTTCTGAGGTCTATGAACAATTTATATATCATAAACTCACAAATATATCTAGTTTGGATGGACTCGTGATGATGCGTGATTGCAATATCTTGACTTGCTTTGGATAGCTAAGGGACGTTTTGCGTTCGATAACATACTTGATTCTTGAACGTGCTATGAACTTTGGATGAACACACAAATATGATTGTGGAACTTGCTACGAACACTTTGTATCCCATTATTTTCAGGTGAATGATCTAGCGGAGGCATCGGATAGCTATGGGACGTTGAATAACATACTTGATTTGGATAAGCATAATGACACAGTAAAGACACAAGGAAGCCTCTCACGGAATTTGCGAAGAGTCAGGCAGGGCCTCGATCTCATCAGGGCAATATTCCAAAACTTTTTGTCTACAGAGTATGTGACATGCCTTCCTCTTTTATTGTTTCTTCTTTCAGTATTTAACAATTGACTCTTTCACATAATTTTATTTGAGGAGTGTTTTCTTTGGTTTGGAGTATAAGTAATAGTGATACATGAGAAACTTTTAGCTCTGGTAGAAGGATACTTGGAATTGGAACCAAATATATGCTCACTAATGAACATATGTGCTGGTCCCGGAAAGTTTGTAAATATGTTTCAACTGTCAACCAAATGATAGAATGCTATACATAGTCATACAGGATGCATCATATGTTTGTGTACTGTGAACTTTGTAAGAGTTACCTTAAAACTTCACAACATTTGCACAAAAAGTTGTAAACGAATTGAACATTTGCAAACAAATGCTCGTTTGAGATTGTATAAAGCTCGTGATTGTTTGCTAATCAAGTCATGCTTGAACAAAACATTAGGCTCTTTTGTTAGTCGAACAAACACAAGCATGTTCATGAAAGTTTGCTAATTTTCAAACATAATTGAACACGAGCGCTTGCTTGTTCAGTTCGATTACAACACTAATAAAGAGATAATTCGCCTTCACATTTCAGCTTTGTTCACTTGATGGAAAGATGCAGATATGGATGATTTTTTTTACAACAGTTTCATGAGAAGTTTCCTTTCAGAGGACATCTCTATAATGCAAATTAGACCTATTTTTCCCGAGTTTGATTTTCTCTTTGATACACCTATATGTCTTATTTATTAAGTTGCACATAATTACTTTGATGGAAAACAATCATATGTCCAACATCTAAAACGTGTCTTGGCATTTTTATTTTTATGTTTCTTACAGTGACTATTACCTTAAAGAAGCTGCTTCAACTGCCTACACAAAAACTTGCGCACCGTACCACACGTGGGCAGTGAGGACAGCAGTTTATGCTGGCATGTATGCTCTGCCAACGAGGGATCAACTACTCGTCAAGCTAAATGAAACTGGTAAGTTAGAAATTTGCGAGAATTTGTTTGTGGTTGTCAACTTCTAAAACTGGTATCTTTGTTTGTGAACAAGTAACTTGGATGATTTAGTGATTTTTCCTATTATGATTTTTGGCGCAGATGAGTCGGCCGAGAGAGAAATGGTTAGGTACATCAATGCCTCACTTCCAGTGATCGAATACATTGATAAGTTGTACAGTTCAAGGAATATCAGCTTGGACTGGTGAGTTCTTTTCCTTCATTTGATTTGTTGGATGGCTTCAAGATACGTATGGAACCCCTCTGCCATTCTATGCTTGGAAATATGGTTACCAAAAGGGATGATCTTGCTGATTATATTTATTTATTTATATTATTATTATTATTATTATTATTATTATTATTATTATTATTATTATTATTATTATTATTATTATTATTAATTTTTTTTTGTGTGTGTGTGTGTGTGTATATGATAATAGATTAGCCCTAGGCACTGCATTAAATAAATGTAGATGGAGATACAGTAACATTTTTGTATGTAGAGTGGATCCACTGGCTCTCGTGTATAGAGATGTTTAGCCAGGAAAAAAATAAAATGTGATTTGTCAAAATAGTGGTTTTAGTGTAATGAACATCGCCTAATTTTACTATCCCATCTCTCTCTCTCATTGTTTGACTACTGTATGATATGAACTCATGGAATAATGAACAAAATTGTTTGACTACTAATATATATGAACTCATGGAAGAATAAACAAAATGATGGTATAAGAATGGTAATGCTTATACACTGATATACAACAAGATCACTGGTTTAAATAGCTCGCTTTGTTACTATATTTTTTTTTTTTTCAAAAAACGCGACGTAGCTTTATATATTTAGTGTTTTTCGCAAAAAGCTTACGCGAAATGTTGAAATAATACGTTTTTTTACGCTATTTCACGTTATTTTGCGCAATATTTCTGCGACGACATTTAAACAATAAAATATTAAAAAAACTTGTATTGTTTGGGGATTAAAAAGTTAAATTTTTAAATGACTAAAAACTAAATTTTTGATAATTATTTCAAATTAAAAGTTTGAAAATGTGAATTCATAAGTTGAATAGTGCAATATTTATCTGTCCGGATCAATTATATCATTATATTTTGGGTATTTGACATTTAAATTGAAGAATAAAAAATTCAAATCTAGTGGTTGGAAGTAAATTGTAATTAAAGTAAAAAATTAATTACAATGCATATGATTAAAATTAAATTATGACTTATCTTTTTATATTCTTTGTTTGTTTTGGTATATTCTCTTTGTTATTTAAATATTTACATTATGAATTTACATTAAAATATTATAAGAAATAATTCTTAGATGTTATTTTGAGTTCATTCTATTATGATAATTTAAGAATCAATCATCCGGTTTATTCTATATACATACATATATATATATATATATTATCTCGATAAAAGTAATTTTTTATACTCAAATAGTTTATCAACACCCAACGCTATTTACACTACGCAATATAAAAGCTAAAATGCGTTTTAAAACAGTGAGCAAGATAGAGGCATAGAGCCCGCAATTTCGAGCCTGGCTCGTGGCTTGCCTAGAAAAGCATGATCTTTCATTATAGAGAAAAATTACTCCTGTCACGAGATAAGATCATTTATATTGCAAGCTTACCATCCAACTAAATTATTTAACAAACTTAAATAATTATAGAAATTAGCGGATTTAATCATTTATTTTCCTTGAGAAAACTGACATCCATTTTACAGTGCTCACTACAAACGTAATGGCCAAAATCGAAATCCTGTCATTAGCTGGTAGAAGCCCCTGTCGCAGCGCCGATGTCGCCGCACACAAGAGATTTGTTTATGGAAATTTTCGGTTTTGTTTAGATTTTTTGATTTGGTTTGGTTAATTTTTAAAAATGTGGTATGGTTAGTTGTTAGTGAGTATATTAAAATAATATATGAAATAAATAATGAAAATTGATTTCATGTAAAAGTAGGAGAGGGATGATTTGATGTGATGGCTATCTATATCTATATCTATATCTATATCTATATCTATATATATATAAAGATGTTGTTGGAAAATTTATTTTTAAAAACTTTGACCAAATAAATAAATAAGTTGACTTTCTATGTTTAGACTATTTAAAACAATGGATAAGAACCATAATAAAACCTAAAGATAAGGCTTTTTAAATTTTCAAATTTTCAAAGATAAGGGTAAGAGCCATAATAATCGAACTTCAAAACAAATTAATTAAAAAATTGATATTTGAGTCAAACCAACAATTGATAGAAATTGTAACAGAAAATCAAATATTTTAGGACCACATTAGTATTGCATTTATGAAAATTTCACACCAATCTTATCATAAAATTTCCACATTAATTAAACTTCTAAACAAATAAACCAATAATTTATAATATAGTTCATGTACACTTATATTATCATAATTTAAACAAGACGTGTACATTACCTCAGTTATCATAATTGAAGCAAGTTTAAACAACATAATTAGTATAAGAGTCCTTAATATTTGACATTAAATAATATAACAATATAGTTTATCATGCTATAGTATTAACAAAAATTGAGTTAATGAGGAAACACGTGTAATGGGCAAGTTAAAACACGTTATAAAATCTAAACAACTCAATCAATTGATTAATTATCTAAATCATTTTAACTTATCTTATCATCAAATCACAATTATTCAAAAAACTTAAAATGGAATTCCGTGGCAGCGATGCCCGGCGAGAAGACCGCATCTTCTTTCTTTTTTGATTACCTTCCTCGCGTATGTATAAGACCGAATCCATTCGATTTCTAAAAAAGTCTTCTTTTAGCTCTTTAGCTACCAGGGACACGTTTAATTATGACACATGTGTACTAATTGGTCATCTTTCTACACAGATAAAAAATCTTAACGACTTAACTAATTAATTATTTTTCAAATCATTTGGACTTATATTATAATCAAAACACAATTTGTTCAAATTCTTATTTTAACTTAATCTAAACATAAATGTACGAATCACAATATATGTGATCAATTTGTTTAGAAACATTCATTTTCTGCAGTAAAAAAAGATTAAAAAAAAAATAAAAAGACGACCGACACGACATAGAAAATTGGTCGGGGAAGGATAGGAAAAAAATGAAATGAAAACCCTGAAAATCCAGATTTATGGCCTAATGTTTGTTTAATTAGTGTCGAAGTTATGGAACATAGTCCAAAACTTGATATTTTTATGAAAAATGCTACAAGTATATAATAAATGTACATATAGGTGTACATAATACTCATATGGAATGGGGCCCACTTGATTTTTTTATTTTTGGTGGGTCTCGCTCAATTTGAGTGCTATTTACGCCCGTATGTACAATATTATGTACCTATAACATTTCTTTTATTTTATATCCAATTAAACAAATGTTATTGTAGTTGATTATTATTATTATTATTATTATTATTATTATTATTATTATTATTATTATTATTATTATTATTATTATTATTATTATTATTATTAACAACCATGTCTTTTCAATTTTATTATGGCTATATACAAATTACCTTCGAAAAACACATAAATTATAATTTTCCCGTGCATCGCATGGGGATTACCAGTTTAAAATAATGTGAGTGTATGAATTGTGAATTAAGGTTGATGTGGTATGTATAAATGATTGATTGATAATATTCAATTATATTGATAATATTGTTGATAGTGGGGTTGAGTTAAAATTGAGTTAAAAAAAAATGGTTGAGTTAAAATATTGAATTTTTTTTTGAAATTTTTTATAAACAAACATGCTCTAATTCTTGCCTCGGAAAAATGCACGCCAATAAGAAAAGGAAACTAGTATAGGAGACGACGACCAATTTCGCACCAGATTTCGACGATTTCCAGTCGGGGCCCGGCGATAGATACCATGAGACGACGTAAAATGAAGAGTTCCAATGTTACAGAAGGAGATGGGATGTGGGATCTCGATATTCGTGTTGAAGCCGAAATGCAAACCGAAGTAGATGCATTTGAAGAAAATTCTAGCGATGAAGACAACGTATTATGTGGGATATTTATTTTCTTCTTGTGATCTGACTGTGTTTTGGATTCACAAGAACCTATGACCCTGTCTGTTGTCTCCGTTGGTCGGCTCCACACAAATCTCGTCGATGTCCCATTCTGCCGTTGGATGGAATTACGAGAAACTTGAGTGCATATTTTATGTATATGTGTGTCTCGATTTGGCGCTGAACTGAATTACGAGAAACTCGAGTGTATATTTTATGTATCTTTATGTATATATGTATTACGAATTGTTGTTGGATTAAATTACGAGAAACTCGAGTGTATATTTTATGTATATATGTATCTCGAACTGTCACTTGATTGAATTACGAGAAACTCGAATGTATACTTTATGTATCTTTTTATATATATGTGTGTGTCCTGAACTGTCACTAGATTGAATTTTGAGAAACTTGAGTGTAGATTTTATGTATCTTTTATGTATTTGTGTGTCCCGATCTGTTGTTGGATTGAATTACAAGAAACTCGAGTGTATATTTTATGTATCTTTTATGTATACGTGTGTCCTGATCTGTCGCTAGCTTGAAATACGAGAAACTCGAATGTATATTTATATATCTTTTTTGTATATGTGTGTCCCAATCTGTCGCTAGCTTGAAATACGAGAAACTTGAGTATATATTTTATGTACCTTTTATGTAATTCAAAATCTATATCGTTTAATTTTGAATTGAACAATATCCTACATATTAGGATATTCATACTTACCATATATTTTGACATTTTTTTTTTCCGAGCGAAAACAACAAACTATTACTCCCGCAATTTAAGAAGAGTAGATCTTTTTTTTTTTTTTTTTTTTT